ATCAGAGCTCTTAGTCAACAAGCATAATATTTTGAAAGGCATCTTTTTTTCTGAACAGTAGGTCTGAATAGTGGGCTTAAAATATTCAGTAAGCCATGCTATAAACGGATGTGCTGTCATCCAGGCTCTGTTTTCCATGTCTAGATCATAGGCAGAGTAGATTTAGCATAATTCTTAAGGGTCCTAGGATTTTTAGAATAGTAAATGAGTGTTGGCTTCAACTTAAAGTCACCAGCTGCCTTAGTTCCTAACAAGAGAGTCAGCCTGTCCTACAAAGTTTTGAAGCCAGACATTGACTTTCCCTCTCTAGCTATGAAAGTCTCGGATGACATCTTCCACTATCAGATTGTTTTACCTACATTGAAAATCTGTAGTTTTGTGTAGCCACCTTTATCTGTTCTCTTAGCTAGATCTTCTAGATAACTTGATGCGCTTGTATATCAGCACTTGCTCCTTCATCTTGCATTTTATATTATGAAGACAGCTTTTTTCCTTAAATTTCATGAACCAACCTCTGTTGGCTTCCAACTTTTCTTCCACAGCTTCCTCACCTCTCTCAGCCTTCACAGAATGGAAGAGAGTCAGGATCTTGCTCTGGATTAGGCTTTGGCTTAGGGACTGCTTGTGGCTTGTTTGATCTTCCATCCAGACCACTAAAACTTTCTCCATATCATCGAGAAGCCTGTGCTTTCTTATCATTCATTCACTTTTATTTTCCTTCAAGAACTTTCCCCTTACATTCACAACTTGGCCAACTGACACAAGAGGGCTAGTGTACCGCCTGTCTCAGCTTTGACATGTCTTCCTTGCTAAGCTTCCTAGCTCTTGATTTAAAATGAGAAATGTGACTCTTCTTTTCACTTGAACACTTAGAGGCTGTTTCAGGGTTATTAACTGGCCTAATTTCAGGGAATGGGGGGGCTCAAGGAGACGGAGAGAGATGGGGGAAAGGCCAGTGAGCAGAGCAGTCAGAACCCCCACAACATTTCTCAGTTAAATTCACCATTTTATATAGGCATGATTCCCAGTGGCCCAAAACAATTACAGTAGCAACATCAAAGATCATTGATCACAGACAACCATAACAGATAGAATCATAATGAAAAAGGTTGAAATATTGTAAGAATTACTAAAATGTGACACCAAGACATGAAGTTAGTACATGCCTTTGGAAAAATGACACTGGTAGACTTGTTCAATGCAGATTTGCCACAAACTTTCAATTTGGGGGAAAAAAAAAGTATCTGCAAAACACAGTAAAGCAAAACACGATAAAACAAGGTAGGACTGTGCTAGCGCATCCCAATACTGAGAGCAAGAAAACAGACCTGGAGCCACAAAGCGCAGCGTTTTCACATTATTTACTCCCAAAGTAAGAAAGAGGCAGATTATAATTAACTACGTAATTATCACAGCATACAACTAATTTTAAAACACATGCCTCTAAAAGGGAACTTGGGACACGTACAATTGTAAGGATGATCTAACGATGCCCTAAACTTCCAATCAGAAACAAATTTGATTCCACTAGTCGCTTCGGTGAGACAGTAGATAAGTATGTTTAAAGGAAATGAAATATATACATTAATTAGAAAACCAGTTTCAACTAGGAAACTAACTTTACCGGGTTCTTGGGAACCACTCTGAACAATGCAAATTCTTCATGGTGTTCTGCACTAACCGTGACTGATGTCAAAAAATAATAATAATGATTTTTTCTCTTAAAATGTATAGCCTGATAAAAATTAAAACACAAAATTACATTGAAATTATTTTTGTTTTTTTTTTTTTTATCTTTAAGCTTAAAAGATCATTTGAAAACTTTGCAGGCCTTTAAAATTTAGATCTGTCAACCAGGGAAACTTTGATGTGACATTGCGGTGCATAAAAACCAAAATGTTTAACCAGCACATGGCCATGGGAAAAATGTCTCCTATAGCAAAATAGGAGACAAAAGAACTTCCCTAAAATCAGTTCTGTGTAGGCCAGCTGGTTATTGTCAACTATTCAAGAAAAAGTCAGAGAGGCCCTCCCTTAAAACTTCCTTCCCAGCAGGAATTCTTTTGACAATGACTTCTGTTTAGGGTCTTCCTGTCTCTGTTTTTCTTTTTTTTTTTTTTTAAAGCCCATCATTGAGGTAAAGAACTGTTCTGTGTTCAGGTCTTTTGAAGTAATCTTACCTCTCAATTAATTTTAATATCATGCCTTTAATTTCAAATATTAACATTTTTATGTTGTTTCTCTTAATGGTATAATTAACATGCATGCAGCATATAGATCCAAAACCAAATTCTGATTTCAAGAGAAGACCACTTCCAGATGCCTTTTAGGTTGATTTTCCACTTGCTTCTCACTCTACCACATTATTTTATCTTGTTTTTGCTATTATAGTTTTTATGTGTATAGTTGGATTTTAACTCAATGAAGTCAAAAGAAAAGTATTGATCTTTGGGGAAAAGGAAAAACTTTCAAAGAACAGGAAGATATTATTGATTTAGCCAAAACAAATGTTTTTTTAATTGAAATGTTTTTCCTTCAGCTTCCTATAAGGGTTATTTAAGGATTTAGACGGTTTTACGAGCCACTTAGTATTTACAACCCTTCTTAATTGTATCCTCTTCCTCACAGGGGAACATTTGCCTAAATCTTTGGAAGGATTTTTTATCTATGAAGAAGAAGGTTCTGGAGTTCCAGGTTCTAGTAGGAAGGGAAATGATGCCATCGTAGTAGAACAATGGACTGTGATTGAGGTGAGCTGCACTTTTCTGACAATTTAGCTCTACATGTATAAATATAATACATAGTATGTAAATAGTATATATTATATATTATATATAAACATATTTTTTATATATATGTGTATATATATATGTATGTGTATATAGATATAGATATAGATATGTTTGGTTTGGGGTGTTTTTTTTTGATATAGGGTCTTACTTTATCACCCTGGCTGTAATGCAGTGGTGCCATCACAGCTCACTGCAGCCTCAACTTCCCCTGGCTCAGGTGATTCTCTAACCTCAGCCTCCCAGGTAGCTGGGACTACAGGTGTGCACCACCACATTCAGCTAATTATTTTGTATTTTTTGTAGAGATGAGATCTCGCCGTATTGCCCAGGCTGTATATTTTATTTTTCAAGTTAAAGATCTTCATTGCCTGGCACATGCAGTATCCTTAAACATATATTTGTTTAGTGTTTAAAATCTCATCACAAATGCATGAACAAACTTCTTTCAGATTTGTGAAAAGGTGATTTGCTTTATCCAGTGTTAAATGTTTTTGCAAGATAGAGAAATAATTATCTATGCATAAATAGCAGTAGGTTCCCAAAAATTTTAAGCCAAAAACCATCTCCTGGCACTGAGATTCTCTTTACACCATTCTGTGACAACTGATTGAAAGAAAACAATCCAGTCACTCACCTAGTGTTTTATCTCCAATCAACCAATGTGACTGTTTTTTTTTTTTTAACCTTATGAATGACTTTCAAAGGCAAAAATATCCAAAAGATGTTTTCTCTCTCACCAGGCCAAATATATACACGCAGCATTGTCCTTCACAATCAGAGATGACATTGCTGCTGATACCCTGAATTCAGATGTCACCGAATGGACTGCCCTTGAGGTGCACACACTGAATTCAGGTATATTCTGTTGTGTGTATGAGGCCCTCCCTGACAGGCTCTTTCAGGGAAACTTTTGCCTTTCTGACCTCATACAGGTTAAAGAGACATAGCCCATTTTCAAAGAAACTAGAAAATCCATTGAGTGGGGAAAAAGGATTTGGGGGAAGAGGTAAAGCTCCAGGCAAAACTCAATTCCAAACTGAGTAAAAAACATGAAAAGACTCCCCACACCCAAGCGCCCCTCACCTTCAATACCCCAATTGTCACTCCCCACTCTTTTCCTCACTTCCTAGTCTCTAGACCAGTGTTTCTGAAAATGTGTTCTGGAAACTCCTTGGATCTGAATCCCCTGTGGAACTCATGTTAAAATTCAGACTCTCCCTGGCACAGCGGCTCACGCCTGTAACCCCAGCACTTTAGGAAGGTGAAGTAGGAAGATAACTTGAGACCAGGAGTTCAAGACCAGCCTGGGCAACATAGTGAGACCCCCATCTCTACAAAAAAAATTTTTTTTTAATTAATCAGGCATTGTGTTGTGCGCCTGTAGTCCCAATTACTCAGGTGACTAAGGCAGGAGGATAGTTTGAGCCCAGGAGATCGAGGTTAAAGTGAGTTATGATTATGACACTGCCCACTAGCCTAGATGTAGGAGTGAGACCCTCTCTCAAAATAAAATATAATAGCCAGGCCCAGTGGCTCACACCTGTAACCCCAGCACTTTGGGAGACTGAGGAGGGCAGATCATCTGAAGTCGGGAGTTTGAGACCAGCCTGACCGACATAGAGAAACCCCATCTCTACTAAAAATACAAAATTAGCCAGGCATGGTGGCATATGCCTGTAATCCCAGCTACTCAGGAGGCTGAGGCAGGAGAATCACTTGAACTCAGGAGGCAGAGGTTTCCGATGAGCCATGATCACAGCATTGTACTCCAACCTGGACAACAACTGCGAAACTCTGTCTCAAAAAATAATAATAAAATATAATAAAATGTAGATTTCCAGCTCCCCAATCCCATATGTTAAATTTCAAGAACCACTTCCCTAACAAGACCAAACTTCCGACAACCAGACAGAAACCTCTCTCCATTACCAGTGTTTCTAACTCGGTTCAGGGATTAGAAGGAAGCTGAGCAGAACGTGAAGCCCAGGAAGGCTGCAGCAATGAATGTGAACTTCCCTCATCCTAACACGCTTCACCCTTTGTTGTAATTGTGTAGCTGGTTGTCTTTGCTATTAGACTATGAGCTCTTATGCTTATTCATGCAGGGATGTGAAATCAAAACAGATTATGGCCCTCTGCTGCACACTCTGGCTGAATTTGGATGGCTTCTGACAAGCGTGTTGCCCACACCTGTATTAAGACATGACAGGTAAGGCAAAAGCATTCTTACAGACTCTCATTTAATTCTAATATATAATTTCATTTGTTATATAATTCAGTTTAGGCCAGGAGTGGTGGCTCACACCTGTAATCCAAGCACTTTGGAGGCCAAGGCGGGCGGATCACCTGGGATTGGGAGTTCAAGACCAGCCTGACCAACATGGTGAAACCTCATCTTTATATAAAAATAAAAATTTAAAAATTTAAAGAAAGATAATTCAGTTTAACAAATATTTGTTTAATACCTACAAAACAACATTTCACCGAGCTTCTAATTTGATTTTATAGACCTTGGAGGTTAGCAAATTCAGTCTTTGGCATTATAGATGTATAAGCTGGCCAGGCGCAGTGGCTTACACCTGTAATCCTAGCACTTTGGGAGGCCGAGGTGGGTGGATCACCTGAGGTCAGGAGTTCAAGATGTATACGCTGTTAAGCTCTGCAGCACAAATGCAAAACTGTCCTCACCTCAGCACACGGCCAGGTTTAGGACGCAGTAGGGTTCCAGAGCAAGCAGGATGGAGGAGCGCTTCTGCCACCTCCCCTCCAGTGTGGTGAGTTAGTTCCCCTCAGTAGCTGTTTCCATTAAAATAAATAACTGCATTAGAACCAAATGCCAATATTTCACAAGCACTAACTTTCCTTTTCCTTTTCTCCTTTTACCAACTTTCTTGGAAAGGAAAAATTGAGTTTACTTTTTTGAGACAGAGAAACAGAGACCAAGTAAGTCATTATGTAAAATGCTTTGCTATTCCTGGGACCCAGAGATGTGTCCTCTGCCGGCTTAGGCATCCAGGAAATGACTGACTGCCAAAGCTGTCCTGCCTGGGCAGGTGACTACCTGCAGAGGATAGTGCAGCACCAACTGGGCCTTCCCTTTTAGCAAAGTCAAGTATGCATTAACATTCTGAGTGGTTGTCAGCTGTCACTAAGGAAGGCAACTTCCCCTTCCTTAGTCTAACCCACTTCACTCACCATCTCTGGACTTCCTGGTTTAGCAACTTAGCCCTGTCCAGTATCCCAATACCCTCAACATTTAAAAACCTTTGATTGGCATGGCTTTATCTCAACAGCCGCACCTTTGTCAGGTAGGAAAAAGAATTAGGTGGATATAAAGTAAAGAAACTCAAGCTTAAAGAACAAAAAAGGAATGTTTGAAATAAGCAAAGCAATTAATCCACTTCCCAGAGCTCTGTAGTAACTGTTCTCAAATTGAGTGATGACTCCTGAAGCATGATTTCCTAACCTTTTCTACTCTGTGATGTACTTGTCATATAACAGAACAGTAGTAATTCTCAAGATTCAGTTTTCATGAAATGAGAGAATTCCCTGACTCCCTTTGCAGGACATGTGACAAGGGTGTGGCTTGTCTGTTCAGCAGCTGTGTTCTCAAACCCCTTACCGGAGGGAGAGCATGCAGATGGGCAGGTGCAGGAGCTGGCGCAAGTGCTCTGGGGCTCCGGCCTCATGGTAGCATCTAGGGGTGGGTGCCTGCAACTCCCAAAGCCCAAGGAGGCATGTGTAACAGTGTTCTTTTAGCTTTGCCATCTGCAGACGGCTGAAATGTTAACCAGCTTAGTGTCCTTTCGGTACCTAGGTCCTTGTCCAGGGTCCAGGAAGAGTCAAGTTGCACAAAGAATTGAGGATGGTGATTGTGTAGGTTTTACTGAGGGTGGAAGTAGGATTGAGTGGGAAGATGATCATCTGGAGTTTGACCATCCAGCAGCCAATCTCTTCTCCAACCATCTTCAGCCAAACTCCTCTCAACATTCAGATGCTCCTTCTCTTCTCTCTGCCATGCCATTCTGAATTTTAAACTTTAGAAATTAAATCTAAAAGGCAAAAAGTCAATCAATAAATAAAAACATGTGGAAGCTGTGCATAGTTTCTGGCCTGATGGAGGTTGTGAGCTGGTTAAGCTTACATTTCATGCATAGTAAATGAGGGGCTTCCATTCTGGTCAGGACAGATCAAGCTTATGTATTGGTCAATATAATACAGTAACTCATCAGGCTGGGTGTGGTAGCTCACGCCTGTAATCCCAGCTGAGGCTGGGATTTTTGGAGGCTGAGGCAGTGGATCACCTGAGGTTGGGAGTTCAAGACCAACTTGACCAACATGGAGAAACCTGGTCTCTACTAAAAATAAAAATTTAGCTGAGCTTGGTGGTGCATGCCTGTAATCCCTACTACTCTTGAGGCGGAGGCAAGAGAATTGCTTGAACCCAGGAGGTGGAGGGAGCAGTGGGCCAAGATCATGCCATTGCACTCCAGCCTGGGCAACAAGAGTGAAACTCTATCTCAAAAAAATATATATATATACAGTAACTCATCAAGGGCTAGATGAGGTGCCTTAGTCTATAAGTTCTACAGGAATACTAAAAAGAAGAGACATTTTAAACTGTCAAAGTTAGATCTTCAAATACTAAAGAGATTAAAGGGCAGCAGCATCACTATTTAGCAGATTTCTATCTAGGAATATGCCCATAATTCTGTATAGATCATAGTAGAAAAATGTAATTTTAACAGTAATTGCCCTTATGTAACAAGGCACACTGCAACACACAATGTCTACTCTTCTTCTGTATGCCAAGGAACATTGTGTAATATTGGTGCTGATTTGGTTCCTCTGCATTTTGTAATTTGGGTCCTGCCAAGTGCCTGCAACACAGGAAATATAGGATGAAGGTAAAAGTTCATGGTCATTTGGTAAAAAGCATTGTTGGTAAAGCTTGTTTATCCTCTGCCTTTTTATTCTTGTACAAATATATTGTCCCTATGACAGCCGCATGCTGTTCTTGGCTGCTTTAGTACACACAATGATGGGAATTATTGTCAATTATTTAGTCTTTAAAAATAAAGAAAAACATTATATACAGTTGACCTTGGTCAAGGTAGAAGATAGAGCCTGAAGTTTTAAGTCTCTGAAACTAGAGGAGTGGTTAGGAGCCCAGGCTTTGGAGCTAAGCAGATCTTGTTTTAATTATACCTTCCTCATTGTCTAGCTGTATGATTGGGGCAAGTCATCTAACGTTTTTAAGATAAATTTCCTGGCCAGGCACAATGGCTCAAACTTGTAATCCCAGCACTTTGGGAAGCCAAGGCAGGCAGGTCAGGGGGTCAGGAGATTGAGACCATCCTGGCCAACACACTGAAACCCTGTCTCTACTAAAACTACAAAAAAAATTAGTTGGGTATGGTGGGATGCACCCGTAGTCCCAGCTACTCCGGAGGCTGAGGCAGGAAAATCGTTTGAACCCGTGAGGTGGAGGTTGCCATGAGCCGAGATTGCACCACTGTACTCCAGCCTGGGTGACAGATGACAGAGCACAACTCTGTCTCAAAGAAAAAGAAAAGGTAAATTTCCTTATCTGAAAAATGGTACAATAATATCAACTTTAGTGTATTATCACAGTAGCTAAGATAATACATGCAAACTACCTGTACAGGGCCTGAGCATATTAGGCTAATGTTTTGGGACCTAATCTTTAGCAGAACCAAAATTTCTGGTAAGTTGAAACCAATGTTCAGGCATGATAGTTTGGCCTATCCTAAATCAGGATGTTTCAGAAAATGTAAATACTGTAGTTCACAATATAAGAAATCATCACTGAAGATGACAAGACAATAAAAGCAACAGAAATACAGAATGACATTATTAAAATATCTGCTTTCACATATTCTCATACCCAGAAAAATGAATGTCTATCATCATCTTTCTTTTGTGGCTCACATGTCAAAAACATAACTTAAAACTACTGCCAGTGAAAACCTTCTTCCTTATATGTGTTTGTCTTACATAGAACAATAGAGTCTTAAGTAATTACAATATTTCTGTGGCATAAAACACTCAAATAGAAAGTGCATAAAATGCAAGCCAGGTGTGGTGGCTCACATCTATAATCCCAGCATTTTGGGAGGTCGAGGCAGGCAAATCCCCTGAGGTCAGGAATTCAAGACCAGTCTAACCAACATGGCAAAATCCTGTCTCTACTAAAAATACAAAACTTAGCCAGGCATAGTGTCACATACCTGTGGTCACAGCTATTCAGGAGGCTGAGATACAAGAGTCGCTTGAGGACCTCCCCAAGAGGTAGGCAGATGCTGACCTTCCAAACTCTTATTCAGGCATCTGAATGCTGTCTAAAGTTGTCAGCCTTTGACAAACCATCTCCATGTTTGCTTTTTATCTCATTAGACTCCCCAAACCACTCCTCATAGAGCCACTGGAAGGCATTACTCATCAGTTTTAAAGCTCATGCTTAGGTCAGATGCGGTGGCTCAGGCCTGTGATCCTGGCCCTTTGGGAGGACAAGGCAGGTGAATCACTTGAGGTCAGGAGTTCAAGACCAGCCTGGCCAACAAGGTGAAACCCTGTATCTACTAAAAATACAAAAAAATTAGCCGGTGTGGTGGCACATGCCTGTAATCCCAGCTACTCGGGAGGCTAAGGCAGAAGAATTGCTTGAACCCAAAAGGCGGAGGTTGCAGTGAGCCACAATCATACCACTGCACTGCACCTGGGTGACAGAGTGAGAATGTGCCTCAAAAAAAAAATTAAATTAAATAAAGCTCATGCTTAAAAAGCTTCTGCCCTTTCAGAGGCAATCCCCTTCACACCACAGGAGGAATAGGTTTGACAGTGCTCTTGCTTCACTGAAGTAGCAACAGGGGGTTCACCTCCCCTATGCCACATGTCTCACCTCTCTGCATCCTGTGTTAAATATCAAGCAGAACGCTGGTGGAGAGAATCCTCTTTCAACATACAGGCGATGATTCTCAACCCAGGATTGAGCACTGTACGTCACACCATCTGAGGACTTTTTTCCTTGACATACACCCCTAACGTACCTACCTCTACCTCCAACCCACAGAGCCTTCGATAAGCTATCTCCTTCCTCTTTCTCCTTCCCCCACTGCCTCAGGATCCACTGATAGAGATACTCTCATAATTTGGAGTTGCTGCCAGGAATTGTGTCAGACTGCAGAGGGAGTAACTCCTCACCCACATTCCAAAATATAACATTTTGGACATATATATATATATATAAATATTTTAGACAAGTCAGGTCAGGAATACATTGAGAAACTGCAGACGATTAAACATGTGTCTTCAGTATGGCTCTAGGCAGCCTATCTGGCTAAAATTGTCCAAAAAATTTAAGGACACATGTCACATTAGGAGAATATGGTAAAATAGACATTGAGGATGCTTCCAGAAAATAAGCCCTTTTTGGTTCCACACTCCATACCAAGAGGAATTCTTGGTGAGTTTTATTATTATTCAAGGAAAACCAACAGTGAATGCCTTTGATAGAAGGAAGTATCACCAAGTAATCCCCAGGGCCTGTGAAGTCCACACTTCCAAGTCTGTGTCTTCTTGTGATGGTTCCCAAGTGTACTGTGTGTCAGGGCCACCTGGGGAGCCTGGTGAAATGAAGATTCCATAGACGTGGAGTGAACCCTGGAATCAACAGGCACCTCAGTGTTTGGAATACACAGTAAGGTGTGTAAAGCCTGCCGTAGGCCAAACATTACATCTTAGTGCATTCAGAATTGCCCCATCCGCAGTTGATCTGTAAGCAACCCTGTATGGTCTCCAGCAATCCCTACCCCAACGTGCTCCTGCTTTCTCTTCAAGGAGAATAATTCTACCCTGATCTCTCCTTCCCATCTTTGGATCATTCCAGGCCTAGTCCTTTATGATTCTCCACCTGGATCACACACCAAGAACATGAACCAGAAGGTCTCTTCTCCATTCCCGTGTACCCTGTCCCTTGAATTTGTTTTTCTTTTTTCTTTACTTTTCCTTCCTTCTTTCTTTTAAGATAGGTTCTCTCAGCATGGCGCAGTGACTCACACCTTTGGGAGGCCAAGGCAGGTGGATCACCTGAGGTCAGGAGTTCAAGATCAGCCTGACCAACATGGAGAAACACCAACTTTACTAAAACTACAAAATTAGCCGGGCATGGTGGCTCATGCCTGTAATCCCAGCTACTCAGGAGGCTGAGGCAGGAGAATCACTTGAACACGGGAGGTGGAGGTTGCAGTGAGCCAAGATTGCACTCCAGCCCGGGCAATGAGAGCAAAACTCCATCTTGAAAGAAAAAGAAGTTTTCTCTCTCTGTCACCATTCTAGGGTTCAGTGGTATGATCATGGCTCACTGCAGCCTCAACCTCTGGACTCAAGTGATCCTCTTACCTCAACCTCCCAAGTAGCTGGGACCACAGGCACGTGACACCACACTTGGATAGATTTTTTTTTTAATGTTTTTATAGAGACAGGAGTCTCAGTATGTTTCCCAGACTAGTCTCAAACTCCTGGACTCAAGGGATCCTCCCCACTCAGCTTCACAAAGTGCTGGGATTACAGGCATGAACACCATATTTGGCTGTCCCTTGAATTTGCCCTCTGGAAGATATTCTTGATTCTAAAACTTTTCCTCCATTCCCTTAACTGCACCCTATATTTCACTAAATAAATGGAAAAGTGGAAAGAAATTACATTTGTTGTACTTCTTCTAGTCGCAGGCACAATGGGGGGGCTTTTCACACATGCTTTTTCCTCACTTATCACTTATCGAGGTCCCTGATAGAAAACAGTCAGAGAATTTAAGGTTTAATTGATTAAAGGTGTCAACTATTAAATACTACGGCAGAATTTGGATTTGAACACAGGAACTGTCTGGTTCCAAAGCCATGGCTTTTTCCGGTATACTTCATGCTTCCAAAACATATGACCAACCTTTTCTGTACACATGCTAATCCTATCCATGTGCCAAAGCCTCATGATGATTTGTTCCCAAAGTTACTATATGTTTTATGTAAGTTTTTTGCTCTAATGAGACTAGAAACAGTCTTTCAAAAATGAAAATAAAAAAGTAGTCTCCTGTTATCACTTTGAGAAATATTTGATATTTCTCAAAATTCAGCAGTATCAGTAAGGTTGGGATTTTCAAATGCTGTGCAGCTGACACATAACTCTAAAGCCAGAGTTTCAGTGTTGCATTCATTTTCCAGAAAAAGAGCTCAGCATAAAATGCAGCTAATAGTAAGGTTTTGTTGGGGTTTTTTGCATAATAAAAGTCGTAACTGAGCAACATTAGCTACAGACACTCCTCCCCATAAATCCATGGAGACTCTGTGAAAAGCATTTCAGAGGAATACAAACCACAAATAGTCGTTGGCAAGGGGTAATTTGCCATGATGATAGTTAGATAAGGAGAATACTGAGTAGCTGACTACAAAGAAGCATCTGAAAGTAAAACTAGCTATAGTTGAAGTCCCTCAATTGAAAATGAATGTAAATTTTTCTCACATGTGGCAGCCTAAATTGGTCTCTTCTATTTATAATGCAAATTTGACAATGCATAACAAGAAGTTTAAATCATAAGTTTTGACCTAATAATCCCACTCCTAAGTATTCATTTCAAGAAAATAATTCATAAGATCAATATGATACATATTTTTTATAACAGCATCATTTATTTATAACTGGCAAGAAACTGGAAGCAACCTTATTTTCCAATAATAAAAGAAAGGTTGAGTACATTTTGATATTTTAATTCTTTGAGTTATTATGCAACCATTAAAAATACGATTACAGTGTACAAACTGAAAAAGAGTGCTCAGTGAAGGGCATAGAAACAAAATATAAATATGCAGTGATTACAGACATGCAAATACACGAGCTGATAAAGACTAAGAGGGGAAACAAAGAAACGAAAATATTGATGTTAGCTTGGTGAGATTACAAGAGTCTTTAAACATTAAAATAGTTTTATTTTCTAGTGACCATATTCAGTTTTTTAGGGGTTGTTCTTGTTTTTTCAGATGCGGTTTTTATAGAATTATGTTTTACAGTTTTTCCATCACCGGAAGAAAAAAAAGAATTATGTTTTATAATTATTTTCGGTCAGAAGATTATTTTATGAAACTACATATGGAACATTCTAGCCAATTATGAAATATAGAGAATTACTAATTCACAAATACTAATACTATTGTTTTAATTTGCAGTGAAGGGAATTTGGCTACAAAGCAGATCGTATTCCTTCAGAGGCCAGTTATGTGGAATTCAGCTGTTCAAACACCAGATGTGAGTAAAATTGATGTTTTATTAACTGAATGTTATATTGAAGCGTTTAATCCTTAAACTCTCATTGTAATTCCAAATGAGGAAGCATGGACATGATATGGAAACAGTCCTCTGAACCAACCTATAAGGGAAATGTGCTAGCAATCAGGCAACATGAAATAGCACCAAAGGGGATTCTAATATGCCATCTCAAAATATGCCATTTTGGCATGAGGATTAATTTGAGCTGATGGCAATTAAGAAACAGCAGACACAGGAGGAACTCTCTGTCCTCTATCTTTCTGCTGAAAAACAGGGCATACATTTCACTTCATAAAGGTGACATAAATTTTCATTTGTAAAGGTGTCTAATCACCAGAGACAATTCCTACTGATGAGTCTGCAAAAACAAACCTTACTAAAATAAGCTTGATCTTCCATTAATTTACCCCATGTATTTGCCTTCTCACAATGTACTTCCCCAGAAGCCCAAATTCCTTTTCCTTTGTCTAGTCACCTGTCCACAACTTATCACCTTTTGTTAAAATGGTATATAAACTCCCGGCTCTTCTACACCAAACTGCCTCACTGAGGTTTTGCTACTTTTCTGTGAAGAGACTGTGTGCATTGAAAATAAACCTTTTCTCCTATTGATATGTCTTTTGTCAGTTTAATTTGTAGTTCTCAGCTACTGAACCTAAGAGGATAAAGGAACAGTTTTTTTTCTGCCCCTACAGTTCTAAATCTTGTGAATGAATGTGCCTGATCTTGCAACACATCCATGCAACCTTGGCTATCTTGACCTTTGGCAACACTTTTCTTTTATATTATCTTCTCAAGTCCATATTTTTTCAGCACTTTGCTGAAGGGTTATTCTGAGCCTCAAGTGACCTTGTTCTTACTGGATGCACAGCTAGAATACAATGATTGAATGAGGCCATCTGGGTATTAATAAAGCATAACTTGCAAAACAAGAAATTTGCAAATGGACCAGAAAACTATTTAAAGTGATTCTTTTTTTGTATCTAAATCGAGAAAACATTGTTTTATGTTTTGGGGCAAAGCTGCAGATATTTGAAAAAAGAAAACATTATTTAGTAAATTTTAAAGTTATCTAAACTATCAAAGAGCTAGACTGACTTTGTGTATAATACAGCCATGTTAAATTGTCTCACGTTAATTTTGGAAAGAGGCTCGCTGGCTCAATAGGTAAATAGAGAGGTAGAGAGGTGGATGGGAAGATGGAGAGGCAGGAGAATGGAATGACCAAGTACACAGATATTAGAAAGATCACATTAAAGCCCACAGGTGAGCACTGCAACCCCTCCACAACAATGAGATTGACTCAAGTTCATGTGTTTATTAAGAAATATTCTGGGCCAGACGCAGTGGTTCACACCTATAATCCAAGCACTTTGGGAGGCCAAGGTGAGTGAATTGCCTGAGGTCAGGAGCTTGAGACCAGCCTGGCCTACACAGTGAAACTGCATCTCTGCTAAAAATACAAAAAATACACCCAACTGGGCAGCGTGGTGGGTGCTTATAATCCCAGCTGCTTGGGAGGCTGAGGCAGGAGAACTGCTTGAACCCTGGAGTGGGAGGTTGCAGTGAGCCGAGATTGCGCCATTACACTCCAGCCTGGGCAACGAGAAAAAAAAAAAGAAAGAAAAGAAAAATATTCGTCTAGGCCATGCACAAGGGCTCACACCTGTAATCCCAACACTTTGAGAGGCTGAGGTGGCAGAATTACTTGAACCCAAGAGTTTGAGACCAGCCTGGGAAACATTGGCAGACCCTGTATCTATAAAAAAATAAAAAATAAATTAGCCAAGCATGGTGGCACATGCCTGTAGTCCCAGCTACTTGGGATATAGAAGTGAAAAGATCACTTGAGCCCAGGATTCAGCACTGCAGTGAGCTGTGATAGTGCCACTGCATTCCAGCCTGGGTGAGAGTGAGACCCTGTCTTGAAAAAAATTAAATAAATAAAAGAAATATTCTGCCTAAAAGAAGCAAAGGTGGGTATATGTAGAGCATGGCAAGAAAAAGTTGTCCTTTCTTTTTCCCCCAAAGCAAACTTCTCATCATGTCCCAACCTCTTTATTTTTTTCTTTTTTTTTTTTTTAAATTCTACAAATGACCATTATTTCTAGGAAAAATCATCAGAATTCACAGTTTTAATTTAGTGAGGGCCATGAAGTTGTGTTTGTGAAAATATAAGATCAAAATCCAGCTACTTCAGAGTCTCTTTTACTTAATATTAGATATCAGGTTTTTAATTCCCTAAAAATACTTAGGCCCTTTTTGTTTATCATATTTTACTTATTGATGAGACATGGACTCCCTGTGTTGCCCAGTCTGGTCTCAAACTCCTGAGTTCAAGTAATTCTTCCACCTTAGCCTCCCAAGTAGTTGGGGTTACAGGTGCTCACCACTGTACCCAGCCCTTTTTTGTTTAACTTTAGATATATCCAGTAGTCTCTAGTGGTAACTTTTCTTTGGGTAATCTTTATATTTCATTGTAATATCAAATTACTGGTTCATTTACATAATGGGAAGTATACATAGTTGACTTGTATCAGTGATAAATCTAATAATAATTATCTTAAAATTCTGCTTCTAAATGGATTTACTATTTCTTCATTTGACAAGTGTTTAATTTTTCTAGTAGGAAATCTCAGGATCTTGAGATTATTTCAGGGCAGAACAGCTTAGGTAGGAGCAAAGTGTCTAACAGCTATAACAGAAAGCTGATTTGGAAATTCTTTCAGTTTTTACTTAAAGAAATAATTTCTTACTATACTTCAAAATGGTAGTAATACTTTTGGGAAAGTAAACTATTAATATCATTACAGATTTAATTTATTACCAAAAAATTAATTCAGCGATCTCATATATATTTATGAAAGCAATATTTATAATATGCCTTGAAAAAATGTATGCGGTCAGAGATCCATAAAAGCACTCTTCTTTGCTAATACCTTGAAATCAGTTATTGTTTGGAAGGAGTTAATGGGGGGATTGCTTCATTTATAAAGTCTTTCAAAGAATTTTTCAAAGATGTTTAATTTTGAAAACAGTTGCTAGATATTTCAGACATTACAAGTGTTGTCCTAGGATTGTCAGTGCATTTTCATTAAACAATAAATTTCATGGGGAGTCTGACCTTTGAAAAAAATTTCTCTTGTTTCTTTTACTAAGACTAATGTTAAGAAATATAAGACTTTTTCTATCCAATTTCACTCACCACAGAACAGTACTGTTATATTCAACAAACCCATTTCATGCCCTTGTTGTGGGGGTGGAAATTGAGAATTGCACAATGAAGAAAGCATATCCTTGGAATGTTTTCTTCTGAAGTTATGGAGACCTTTACTTTTGGAATTTGTTTTATATTTCACAGATATATCTTATGCAATATTCTAGATACTTATGAATGTTTTTAAACATTAAAAATGTCATTTCAAAATATTTAGACTCTCATTTACTGTCTCAGTTTTCTCTAAGCTATTAAGAGATAATTCATTTTAGTAAAACTAGAAAACTGTTAGGGGAAAAAACATAGGAGAAAATCTTCGTAAAGTGGAGTTAGGCAGAGTTTTTAGGAGCCAGGTGCAGTGGCTCACACCTATAATCTCAACATTTTGGAAGTCTGAGGCAGGAGGATCACTTGAGTCCAGGAGTTTGAGACCAGCCTTGTCAGTATGGCAAAACTCTGTCTCTACAAAAACTACAAAAATTATCTGGGCATGGTGGTGAGCACCTGTAATCCCAGCTACTTGCAGGGGTGAGGTGGGGGAATTGCCAGAACCTGAGAGGTTAAGGCTGCAGTGAGTCATGATCGCACCACTATACTCCAGCCTGAGAAACAGAATGAGAGCTTGTCTCAAAAAAAAAAAAATGGTTTTTACACGGAACACCAAAAACATAATCTATTTAAAAATTGAAAAATAGACTTCGTCAAAATATAAAACTTTTGTTCTGTGAATGACATTGTTAACAGAAGGAAAAGACAAGCCACAAACTGGGAGAAAAAAAACTCAGAAATTATATACATGGCAAACGATTTTACCCAGATGGTGTCAAGAAAGGACTCTTACAATTCAGGGGTAAGAAAACAATTTAGTTAAAAAATAGTTAAAAGACTGGAACACCTCACCAATGAGGATATATAAATGAGAAATAAATATATGAAAAGATACTTCAATCACTAGTCATTAGGGGTGTGCAAATGCAAACTCATAATGAGATATCATATACCTGTTAAAATGGTTAAAATTAAAAATAGTGACAATACCAAGAACTAGGGAGGATGAGGAGCAATCAGAACTCTCATACACAGCTGCCAGGGATGCAAAATGGTTTATCCACTGTATTAGTCCGTTTTCACGCTGCTGATAAAGACACACCTGAGACGGGGCAATTTATAGAAGAAAGAGATTTAATTGGACTCACAGTTCCACATGGCTGAGGAGGCCTCACAATCATGGTGGAAGGCAAGGAGAAGCAAGTCACATCATACATGGATGGCAGCAGGCAAAGAGAGAGCTTTTGCGGGGGATCTCCATTTTTAAAACTATCAGAATTTGTGAGGCATATTCACTATCATCAGAACAGCATGGGAAAGACCTGTCCCTGTGATTCAATTCCCTCCCACCAGGTCCCTCCCACAACACATGGAAGTTATGGGAGCTACAAGATGAGATTTGATTGAGGACACAGAACCAAACCATATCATCCACCCTGGGAAACAGTTTGGCAGCTTCTTATAAAGTTAAACAGACACTTACCATATGATCCAGCAGTCCCCGTCTTGGGTGTTTATCCTAGAGAAATAAAAACTTACATTCACACAAAAACCCTACACACAAATATTTATAGCAATTCTATTCATAATCGCCTCAAACTGGAAACAACTCAAATGTCTTCAACAAGTGAACGAATAAACAACAGCAGTACATCCATACAATTAAATACTCAGAAATAAAAAGGACTGGGCATGATGACTTACATCTGTAATCCCAGCACTCTGGGAGGACAAGATAGGTGGATGGCCTTGAGGCCAGGAGCTTGAGACCAACTTGGGCAACTTGGTACCCTGTCTCATAAAAAAGAAAAATTAGATAAAGTCTGTTTCTAAGTAAAAAATAAAAATAAATAGGAATAAACTTACTGATACACATAACTTGGGTTAATCTCAAAGGTATTTTGATTAATAAAAGAGCCAGCCTCAAAAGATTATAGACTGTATAATTCTATTTAAATGACATGCTCAAGAAGACAAAACTATAGTGTAGAGAATAGATCAATTGTTTCCAGGGATTAGGGCTGGTGAAAGGGTGTGATACGGGGATATATAGAGGAGTGTTTTGGGGTGGTGTAACTGTTCTGTGTCGAAAATGTGGTTAAATCTATACACATATTAAAATTCGTAGAATTGTACATCCCAAAGTCACTTTTACTGTATGATAATTTAAAAAATAAAATGTCAAAGGATCATTTGCTCTTTAAATTGCATATACTATATTTTTTGTGTCTTTATCCTTCAGTAAAGACTGTCCTTGGGTCATGTAATGCTTATGAAGCTTAGTGAAATTGTTAACTTCTCTTCTCTGTGTGGTGTTGAAAGGCCAGAGTCTTTTTATCTTGCTGTTCCTTTCATCTATTTTTATTTTTCTTTATTTTGGGTAGAGGCCTCTAAATGGATTCAAGGAAATGATAGCCATGCTGAGTAGGTAAAAGACTCTAATCAGGACTTTATCTCCATCTGTTAAATGTGCTTTTCCAGTTTTCTTCCAAGACCTTTCTTAATTTTTGTTTCTTTTGAAGACCCAAATAAAACTCATCAGATTTTTTGTATTACCTAAAAGTCTCTATTTCAGTTAAATATTTGACTCCATACTTCCCCTTGATACTTATTTACAAGAGATAAAAAGTCACTTAAAGAATTTGGTTGCCACTAACTCAGAGTCAGGTTCTTACTCAGTGGTGGTCTCCAGAGTAGACAACAAACTCCGAAAGGGATTCCGGGGAACTGGAATGCAGGGAGAGACACACCCTCAGCTACACTCTCCAAGCCCCCATTTCCTCATCTATAAAATAAGGCCAACATTAGGACATGCCACTGGGCTCATAGGAGATTCAGTTAGAAAACATATGTAGATGTGTCTGGCACAGTGCCTAGTAATATGAAATGTTGCTAATTTTTTCATAGGAATATTTTTCTTTCAATACCAGATGATTAAGCACTACTAACTATATGGAGAAACTGAAGAAAAATCTGGACACTACAAATGAGCCTCCATTTTCTCCAGCTAAAAATTACCTTCAGCTAGTATAGAGTAGAGTAGTGGGCCGGTCATGGTGGCTTTCACCTGTAATCCCAGCACTTTGGGAAGCCAAGGCAGTTGGATAGCTTAAGCCCAAAAGTTTAAGACCAGCCTCAGCAACGTGGTGAAACACCATCTTTACAAAGTATACAAAGATTAGCCAGATGTGGTGACACACACCTGTAATCATACCTACTTGGGAGGCTGAGGTGGGAGGATCCCTTGAGCCCAGGAGGTAGAGGTTTCAGCGAGCCATGAGCATGCCTCTGCACTCCAGCCTGGATGACAGAGACCTTGTCTCAGGAAAAGAAAAAAAAAAGTAGTATATTGATATTTTTTTATATTCTAAAACACACTCACAGCCATGCACAAATATGCATATATAAAGCAAATATGGCAAACTATTAACAAGCGTTGAATGAGGTGATAGGTACATGGGTGTTTATTATACTATCCTTTAAACCTTCTGTATACTTGAAGTTTTTCATTACTGAAAAATTGGGGCAATTATTTTAAGTTTAAAAGCATGGCTGGGAGTGGTAGCTCATGCCTGTAATCCCAGCATTTTGGGAGGCAGAGGCAGGTGAATAACCTGATGTCAGGAATTCGAGGCCAGCCTGGCCAACTTGGTGAAACCTTGTCTCTACTTAAAATACAAAAATTAGCCAGGCATTGTGGTGGGCACCTGTAGTCCCAGCTACTAGGGAGGCTTAGGCAGGAGAATCACTTGAACCCAGAAGGCAGAGGTTACAGTGAGCTGAGATCGCGCCACTGCACTCCAACCTGGGCAACAGAGAAAAACTCAATCTCAAAAAAAACCACAAAAAACATAAAACAAAAAAAAAGCACTAGCCACCAACAACTTTTTTCTGTGCTAGTCGTTAATTAGTAAATAATTAGTTACTAAGCTGCTCCAACAAAAAGACCCAGTGGAGACTGGCTTAAATACAAAGGAAGAGTTTTCTCTCTCTTGTAATAGTCTAAAGCTGGGCAGACACCCTAGGGTGAGTAATGGCTCTACCTGATGACTGGTCTGCCCTGCCACCCTCAACATACGGCTCTTGCCTCAGGACTGCTGCTGCAGTTGTTACCATGTCCAGCCAGGGAGAATCAGAAAAGAGGAATTCCAAGCATGGTTCTAAAGCAATGACCCCCAAGTCATAGGCCTCATTTCTCCTTATATTTCTTTGGCTTGAACTTATTTTTGTCACCACATGTATGTGCAGGAGGGTCTGGGAAATGTAATCTGGCAACTGCATGCTGGTAGCATGGTGAAATACCACATGCCCAGCTAAAAACTGTGGGGTATTACAGGAGGAAGGGTTCTGTTATTGAAAGAAATACGGAGGTGTGGCTGGCAAGATGGCCGAATAGGAACAGCTCCGATTTGCAGCTCCCAGCAAAATCGACACAGAAGGCGGGTGGTTTTTGCATTTCCAACTGAGGTTCCCGGTTCATCTCATTGGGACTGGCTGGGTGCAGCCCACGGTAGGGTGTTGCTTCACCTGGGAAGTGCAAGAGGTCAGGGGATTTCTCTCTCCTAGCCAAGAGAAGCCATGAGAGACTGTACCAGGAGGAACGGTGCATTCCAGCCCAGATACTGCGCTTTTCTCCTGGTCTTCACAACAGGCAGACCAGGAGATTCCCTCCAGTGCCTACGCCACCAAGGCCCAAGGTTTCAAGCACAAAACTGGGCATCCGTTTGGACAGACACTGAGCTGTCTGCAGGAGGTGGTTTTTTTTTTTTTTTCATACACCAATGACACCTGGAATGCCAGCGAGACAGAACTGTTCACTCTCCTGGAAAGGGGGCTGAAGCCAGGGAGCCAAGTGGTCTTAGCAAGCTAAGGTCCAGATCCACTGGCTTGAAATTTTCACTGCCAGCACAGCAGACTGAGGTTCCACTGGGACGTTCAAGCTTGGTGGAGGGAAGGGCATCCGCTATTGCTGAGGCTTGAGTAGGTGATTTTAACACTCACCGTAAACAAAGCCATCAGGAAGCTCGAACTGGGCGGAGCCCACCGAAGCTCAACAAGGCCACTGCAGCCAGACTGCCTCTCTAGATTCCTCCTCTCTTGGCAGGGCATCTCTGGGAAAAAAAAAACGGCAGCAGTTGCAGTCAGGGATTGATAGATAAAACCTCTATTTCCCTAGGAAAGAGCACCTAGGGGAAGGGGTACCTATGGGCACAGCTTCAAGCAGACTTAAACATCCCTGCCTAACAGCTCTAAAGAGAGTGGTAGATCTCCCGGCACAGTCCTCAAGCTCTACTAAGGGACAGATTAACTCCTCAAGGAGGTCCCTGACCGCTGTGTCTCCTGACTGGGAGGCACCTCCCAGTAGAGGCTGACAGACACATTATACAGGAGAGCTCTGACTGGCATCTGGTGGGTGCCCCTTTAGGACAAAGCTTCCAGAGGAAAGAACAGGCATCAATCTTTGCTGATCTGCAGCCTCCACTGATGATACCCAGGCAAACAGGGTCTGGAGTAGACCTCCAGCAAACTCCAGCAGACCCGCAGCAGAGGGGCCTGACTGTAAGGAAAACTAACAAACAGAAAGGAATAGTATCAACATCAACAAAAAGGACGTCCACTCAGATACCCCATCCAAAGGTCACCAACATCAAAGACCAAAGGTAGATAAATCACAAAGTTGGGGAGAAACCAGCATAAGAAATTTCAGGCCAGTATCCCTGATGAACATTGATGTGAAAATTCTCAATAAGATACTGACAAACCAAATCCAGCAGCACATCAAAAAGCTTATCTGTCACAATCAAGTCGGCTTCATCCCTGGGATGCAAGGCTGGTACAACATATGCAAGTCAATAAACGTGATCCATCATATAAACAGAACCAATGATAAAAACCACATGATTATTTCAATAGATGCAGAAAAGGCCTTCGACAAAATTTAACAGCCCTGCATGCTAAAATCTCTCAATAAACTAGGTATTGATGGAACATATCTCAAAATAATAAGAGCTATTTATGACAAACCCACAGCCAATATCATACTGAATGAGCAAAAACTGGAAGCATTCCCTTTGAAAACTGGCATAAAATAAAGGATGCCCTCTCTCACCTTTCCCATTCAACATAGTATTGGAAGTTCGGGCCAGGGCAATCAGGCAAGAGAAAGAAATAAAAGGTATTCAGTTAAAAATAGAGGAAGTCAAATTGTCTCTGTTTGCAGCTCCTTAAGCTGATAAACAACTTCAGGAAAGTCTCAGGATACAAAATCAATGTGCAAAAATCACAAGCATTCCTATACACCAATAATAGACACACAGAGAGCCAAATCATGAGTGAACTCTCATTCACAATTGCTACAAAGAGAATAAAATGCCTAGGAACACAACTTACAAGGAGTATGAAGGACCTCTTCAAGGAAGAAGTCCTATAAACCACTGCTCAAGGAAATAAGAGAGGACACAAACAAATGGAAAAACACTCCATGCTCATGGATAGGAAGAATCAATATCATGAAAATGGCCATATGCCCAAAGTAATCAATAGATTCAATGTTATCCTCATCAAGCTACCATTGACTTTCTTCACAGAATTAGAAAAAAAAAAAAACTACTTTAAATTTCATATGGAACCAAAAAAGAGTCTGCACAGCCAAGAAAATCCTAAACAAAAAGAATAAAACTGGAGCCATCACACTACCTGACTTCAAACTATACTACAAGGCTATAGTAACAAAAACAGCATGTTACTGGTACCAAAACAGAGATATAAACCAATGGAACAGAACAGAGGCCTCAGAAATAACACTACACATCTACAACCATCTGATCTTTGACAAACCTTACAAAAACAAGCAATGGGGAAAGGATTTCCTGTTTAATAAATGGTGTTGGGAAAACTGACTAGCCATAAGCAAAAAGCTGAAACTCGATCCCTTTCTTACACCTTATACAAAAATTAGCTCAAGATAGATTAAAGACTTATGCATAAGAACTAAAACCACAAAAACCCTAGAAGAGAACCTAGGCAGTATCATTCAGGACATAGGCATGGGCAAAGACTTCATGACTAAAACACCAAAAGCAATGGCAACAAAAGCCAAAATTGACAAATTGGATCAAATTAAAGAGCTTCTACACAGCAAAAGAAACTATCATCAGAGTGAACAGGCAACCTACAGAATGGGAGAAAATTTTTGTAATCTCTTCATTTGACAAAGGGCTAATATCCAGAATCTACAAAGAACTTAAACAAATTTACAAGAAAAAAACTGACCCCCAGTGCAGGGAAGAAAGTGCCATTCTCAAATTTTGTACCTTTTCTGAGAGTGAATTTGTCAGGTTCCACTGCATATATTAAATTCAACAAATTTGGTGAATAGAAATAAACAGGAAAAGAACCGAAAAGCTGATATTTGCACTTGATGAATATCAAATGCATTTCCACTGAGTGCCAATAGAAAACGTGACAAACACCAAACTGTGTCCAACTTGGGACCATGAAGGTGGGCCTTTGTTGAGGAAGGACCTACTGTTGACTTTGTGATATATAAGACAGGTCTCAGTTAATTTAGAAACTTTATTGTGCCAAGGTTGAAGACTCAAGTCCATGACACAGCCTCAGGAGGTCCTGAGGTCATGTGCCCAAGGTGGTCAGAACACAGTTTGGTTTTACACATTTTAGGGAGGCATGAGACATCAATCAACATATGTAAGATGAACTTTGGGTCGGTAGGAAAGATGGGACTAAAACTGGGAGGGGGCTTCCGGGTTACAGGTAGATAAGATACAAGTGGTTGCATTCTTCTGAGTTTCTGATTAGCCTCTCCAAGAGAGGCAATCAGATACGCATTTATCTTAGAGAGCGGAGAGGTGAATTTGAATAGAATGGGAGGCAGGTTTGCCCTAAGCCATTCTTAGCTTGACTTTTACTTTTAGCTTAGTGATTTGGGGCTCCCAAGGTTTATTTTCCTTTCACAACTTTTCCCTTAAACTTGCCCAACTCCAGTAACTTGGCCAAGAAAAAGATGAGCTGCCTCTGAGCTGCCAATACACTCCTTTCTATGCTACCCCCTGGGGCTGCCTCTTCCTGTACAAACAATGTCATAAATGGCATTACATTCCACAGTAGCTCACAAAATCTACCTTAATAAAGCTGTTTGTTTACTTTGTATATTTGCTGTAAAAAACAGCAGAAAATACCCCAGTATTTTACACACTACATTTCAACAGACAAATCATTAACAAACTTTTGTAAGATCAGCCTGGGCATTCGATTTCTATAATTTTTCTAAGAATTTTATAATTTTAGCTCTTACCTTTGGGAGGCCGAGGTGGGTGGATCATGAGGTCAAGATACCGAGACCATCCTGGTCAACATGGTGAAACCCCGTCTCTACTAAAAATACAAAAAAAATTAGCTGGGCATGGTGGCGCATGCCTGTAACCCCAGCTTCTCAGGAGGCTGAGGCAGGAGAATTGCCTGAACCCAGGAGGCGGAGGTTGCGGTGAGCCGAGATCGCGCCATTGCACTCCAGCCTAACAAGAGCCAAACTCCGTCTCAAAAAAAAAAAAAAATTTAGCTCTTACATTTAGGAAAATGCAATTCTAGTTCTCAACTAGCATATAAATGAATGTTCAGTAAATGGGTTCTTTGTAAACTGGGAAGTTACTATGATTTTTAAATGTGTCTTTCGATCTATATTCAGTTTTACGTGCCTAGGAGTATATGATCATGTTCTCTAATATCTGCCATGTTATCAGTGTTAAATAAGCTTTTAAAAGGGCCGGATGCAGTGGCTCAGACCAGTAATCCCAGCACTTTGGGAGGCAGAGATGGGCAGATCACCTGAGGTCAGGAGTTCAAGACTAGCCTGGCCAACATGGTGAAACCGAGTCTCTACTAATAATATAAAAATTAGCTGGGCATGGTGGTGCATGCCTGGAATCCCAGCTACTCAGGAAGCGGAGACAAGAGAATTGCTAGAACCAGGGAGGCAGAGGCTACAGTATGCTGAGAATGCACCACTGCACTCCAGCCTGGGCAACAGAGCAAGGCTCTGTCAAAAAAAAAAAAAGGCTCTTAAAATGAAATCTCATCAGGAGACTGAACATCACAAGTTAAGCAGCTAATTATCCTTGTGCTTTCCTTTTATTGACTTAGCTACCTTGTTTTTTTCATATATATATATAGAGAGAGAGAGAGAGGACCTGAGATCTCACTATGTTGCCTAAGCTGGCCTCAAACTCCTGGGCCCAAGCAGTCCTCCCATTTCAGCCTCCTGAGTAGCTGGGACTACAGGCTCATGCCACTTCGCTCAGCTAGATACTTTATTTTGACTTAAGTTTCCTCGGTAGAGACCATGTTGCTTTATTGTGGACTAAACCAAGAACATTCTCTGCCCTCAGTAAATATTTATCAGCAAAAACATCTGTAGATGATCAGAGAATCTGAATGAGCTGAATTCAATTATTGAGCATTTATACCCTGTCAGGCAGAAGCAGTTTGCAGCAGGACAAGGAAAGGGTCCACCTTACCCTTGAAGATATTCTAGACACTCGCTCAAAATAAACTCAGTCTGAATTATCCGTGTGTATTAGTCTGTTCTCACACTGCTAATGAAGACACATACAGACTGGATAATTTATAAAGGAAAGAGGTTTAATTGACTCTTTCCACGTGGCTGGGGAGGCCTCACAATCATGGCAGAAGGTGAATGAGGAGTAAAATCCCGTCCTACATGGTGGCAGGCAAGAGAGAGCATGTGCAAGGGAACTCCGTTTTATAAAACATCAGATCTCATGAGACTTATTCATGGGATGAGACCCACCCCCATGATTCAACTACCTCCCACTGGGTCCCTCCCACAACACCCGGGAATTACGGGAGCTACAATTCAAGATGAGACTTGGGTGGGGTCACAGCCAAACCATATCACTGTGACTCCTCTGTGCAGCCTGTGCCTACATGAAATGCGTGTAAGGTGGCCATTGAAGCACATTTTCTGCTGTATAGATCCCAACTAACACTAAGAAGAAAATGGTTTCTACCTTGCTTTGTTCTCCCAATGTTTATTTCCTTAGAGATGTCCTTGAGGGCTGAGATGTGTACTTAAGGTACCTGCCAATGAGAATGATGTGCCAGGAACCTACAGAGAGTTGCAAAACAGGGAGAATGGAGTTCACTTGTATTTGGATGGAGAGGGGAATGTGGAGGTGGCCCTGAGCTGGTCGCTGAAGATGAACAGGATTTTGAAGAGCCAGGGGGTGGGGGACTGGCGGGGAAGGACATTCCAGGAGGCAGAAAGGCAGCATATGTTAGAGCAGAGGGATAGGAAACACCCATCTTTTTAACTCCTGGTCACCAATGTCTTGTGTTTCAGAAGAAAGCCAGCCGCCACATAAAAGGTGAAGACAAGAACAAAGCCACCAGTAGGAGCATCGGATTAGACACAACCGCATCACAACCTGCAGAGAGCAGACACCCACCTGAGGAGTGCCCCCTTTCTCCCTCCAGGGAATGCTGGACAAAGGAGGGGAGGCTGGCACAGCACAACAGCTTCTCTGGGTTCAGCAGCAGCGACAGTGTCCTCCGGGAATTAGATGACGGACAGTTAGATCAGGAAGATGGCGTGACTCAGGTCACTTGTATGTGAGCCATGAGGTGAAGCAAAGGAAGGCCCTGTATATAATTGTTAAAATCACTGCCAACTGACCTTATTGTATTAATTTCTCTGCATTCATGTAATATTTTTGAATTTTTCCAGACTCAGCCTTTCCTCTAATCTATGTAAACTTTGGCACAACCTCCCAGACAAGGAAGAATAACCAACGTATTTATACATTTAGAATCATATTTACACGTCTCTCAACTAAAACATCTGGTTAAACAGATGTCCCATTTGGTTACTACATGATAATCTATTTCAGGTTATGAATGTACAAAGTAGACTTTTCTTACAATTCTTGTTAAGGAGATTGAATATGTCAATCAGTGTTTTACCTAATTAGAGAGGGTTCTCAGGAAGTTATAGTCTTATTTAAGCTGAAAAATCTCTCTCTCTCTCTTCTCTCTCTCTCTCTCTGTCTCGAACACACATACACACACACACACACACACATACACACACAGAGCTAATTAGTGAAAATAAATACCTATTTCCCAAATATAATAATCAATCCACATTTTATCTTTAACTATAGCATGTATATACAAAGCAAGTCCCTATATGTTAAAGTATTTTTTGAAAAAAATCTTTTTTATATTGTCTTTGTTTTTAAAGGGTCACCAACCCTGTACTGATTCATTGCAAGTAAACGTTATTGCTCCTAATAGCCTAAAAATGCAGACAGCAAAGCAGCATCTCTTAAAATTCAATATGAAGAGAACCCATAATCTCAACACATAAATACCTTAGTAGACAGTAAGATTTAATTTGTTTACTTTAAAGTGCAAATACTATGAAGAGGAAAAACATTTCAAGTGGAAACTGAAGTCTTTTACATCAGTCTAGATTTGAATTCTGCTTTTATTGACTTGCTAAATCCTGCAGAATGTTGAAATCTAGAATTTTCAATCCGGCAGGAGTAGAAAGATCTCATAGCACATGCAATAT